TCTAGGCTTAGGGTTAGGTTTGGGTTAGGGTCGGAGTCATTGCGGGTCATTGCATGACAATCAGTGATGTACAGACGATAGTGTCACTGTGTTAGTATCAGTGATAGAGATGAAACATGATAGACATGAAACACGATGTAAGTAAGACAGGAGACAAGTGATAGGTGATAGATAGATATGAAACACATGATGGTGGTGAAGCATCAAGTGATGGAATCAGTAGTATAGTACAGGGTCAATGATGAATAGTCAGGAAAGAAAAGAAACCCCCCCTCCAAGCTGTAACATATCCAATGTTTTCTGTAAGAGGGAGACTGACAGAAGTTCTGGACAGTCTAGGATTAAAAATAAGAAAGTTTAGCTGGGGATAGTTGCTGTTTCTGTCATGGTCATTATTTTTTCTACACATTCCATATACAAATTTTTCCCTTGTTTAAAAGAACAGGAAGATCACTATGCTACTATATGACCACAGTGGAACACAATGATTCTAATATTGAATTTGTGTTGCATGAAGTGCTCACAAGAATCTCAACTTTACCATGGAGAAAATAGGACCCACAATAGGGTCAAGCTGATGCAAACTGTACACCATCCCAAAATGTTGTTCAAAAGCACCCTTCTCTCTGTGCTCAGTCAAACCTCAGACAGAGTTTTGTGCCAGCCATCCTGGAGCATTCTCTTCCACTTGTTCATCCTTTTTGGGATATGTCACATGTATTAGCACTTAACACTTAGCACAGAAAACCGTAGTGAGATTGGAACGAGAACACTCCTCGACGGATGGTTCCAGGAGCCTGATGTTTGAGCTAGCTAGAGCTCAATGCGAGACACGCCGAAACGGTCCTCTCGCGAAAAGAACTTGAGTACAATTGCACAGCAAATATGACTACTAGGAGTAAATACGCTGGGCTACCAACCACCATATACAAATCAAATATACAGGGCTACTGCAGGGTTCGAATCAATCAAACATTACACGATTCTGCACCTCCACAAGAGGCTCTCTTGCTCAAGAAGGAGCGACTACCCAAGACAACGGTCAGATCCATCTCTTCGTGCATTCCGGTGACCATTGTCGTCCGGTGGCGCATTGCGCTCTTTACATCCCATATTTTTTCTTCGATTTTCTCATCCACTTTTCTTTTCTTCGTTCACTCGACGCTCTCCAAGATCGATGGATAAGGCATGCTGGCCATGAAAAAATGTTTACCGGCTCTCAGGACCGCTTTCCTTGACTACCGTAAGCCTAGTGACGCAAGCGCCTCCATGACGCGCTTGTCGTAGCTCTTCGTCGGATTGCGCTGCCGAACATCTTCAAGAGCATTCTGGATGGTCTTGGCGTTAATATGCGAGCCACGCGATATCGCAGTGTGTACGGAGACATATTGTGCTGTCTCTTCATCTGCAAGCGCAAATAGGAGAGGAACGTAGGAAGGCGAAAGCGGGAGATAGACAATGTAGATGTAAGCAAACAGGGAGCACTAGGAGATATGCGTACCACTAGGCTCAACTACAGGAATCCTGGATATATGGAAGTCTTCACAATCGCGATCCCGACATTCGCCACCACCCGGGACTTCGTACTGACAAATACGCTTGGAGGAGTCTGTAAACAAACGCTTATTATGGGCCATCTTCAGTGTGCCTAGGTCAATTGAAGGAATTGACGGGGAGCTGGATGTTGAAGATGCGTCTATCGACTCTGTCTCGGCTTGCGTTGAGCTTGAGATGTCATCCCCTGATGGATATGGTCGTGAATGTAAGCGCAACAACGGGAAGCAATCAAACAGCGAGGAATAGTCTGAAAACTGCGCTCTCAAGTCTTGCTCTTCGCCTTGCATCCACTCGTCGAACAGCCGTACCTAAATGTAAAAACAGCGACTACATCAGTACCAGTCGGCGGGCGACGTGTCTCCTAGAGAAGATCCATCGTGTAAATCAAGAAAACTGGACACGTACCTGAACCGACGTCTCGCTATCGGCGCTGATGACGCTGACTGCAGCATGCTCTTGGTCGCTTGATATCTGTCGCAGAGGGCTATTGACCTGCCAACGCAAACACAATAGGTCCAAATCGAAAAAGCGGCGAAAAGGTCCAAATAAACCAGTATGCAAGAGAAGCCAGGTGTACACGACGGAAAGAAAAAGAAAATATCAGTTAGACATTGCTCTGGACAACCGCAACTGCGGCGAATAAAGAGACCCTTGCCACTTGTTCATGCCATGCTTCATCGATTAACACTGACAATTCGACGACGAGATACCAAATAGGTAAAAGAGTACACACCCATTGAATTATAATCAAAATGTACCATGGGACAGCGAAAACCAACATGTGAGGAAGAGGGCGCATCACGGGACAGTAAGATGAGGGTAGTACTTGCCTTGATCACCTGTTGCTAAGTTCTCCAGTATAGGACTGGACACGACATCTGCAATGAAGGGGAACAAAGTATTGCCTCAGTCAAAATACAACAAGCATAGGACAAGAAGGAGGACCAATAGGTGTTGCAGAACTGCCTGTAGATTCAGAGTCGAGTGAATGGATGGATGGTGTTGTCGTCGGCACTATGTGGCCGGTCACAGAGGCGATCAGCGGTAATCTTAGCAGATTGATCAAGCTCGAACGAACCGGGTGTCCCGTCGCGTTCGTTGAGCGTCATGTTTTGGGATATGTCACGCACGTATGTGCAACTTCGAAGGATGGATGCAGATGTTGCAGAGTCATCTTCCTCTTGCTTCACGGCTATCAGATTTGTCACACCGCTGGTGGATGTGTTATGGGTCGGCGTTGGAGGCTTCGATCTCGACATCTGTCCTATGCTCAGATACACACAGGTAAAATACGCCGAGTACTCACAGCAACAACTTTTCGTAGCCGGTTCCGCTCGCGCTCAGCAATCAACTCGCGCATCTTTCTAATTTCCTCCTCTTTCTCGAGCAACGCTGCAGGCGACAGCACTCCTGAAGGCGTAATAGTCGGTGACGCACTTTTTACTTGGAATCCTGGTTGACGTGTCGTTGATGAACCGGCTTGGGAATTTGTGCGGGTGAGTGTCAGTTTACCGCGGGCGGGTCGACCACCATTCTCATTACCCTCATCATCCTCCACGTCGTCACATTCGCTGTCGCTGAGATCAATCACACAGCGCCGTGTTCCACCTAAGCCAGCAAACGCGCCCAGCTTCCGTTTGACGGTGGGTTGATAGTACGGGGAGTTGTAGGAGTTGTACCCAGTGCTAGGATGTGATCGCGACGAACCAGGTTCCATGTCGACAAAGTCTGCTGCCACAGGGCGCTTGGTTCCACGACGAAGCACCGCGGAAGACGGAATGTCCACAACCATCGGTTTAGGTGCAACAGATTTCACCTGGTCAGATGAGTCGCTATCACTTGCCGTGATTGGCGAGCGCCCAATGGGTGTTGTTAAATCTGACGGTGGTGATCGGCCTTGTTTGCTAGGAGGCAAGAGATGTGTCGTTGAAGGAGCACGAGTCGACGTCGGGGAAACCACACTAGATGATGACAAAGATCCAACAGACGACGAATACAAGGGCAGTGTGTCATCGGTCGCAGATAATCCTGGAATTGGCTCGTCCACGTCCATCCGGTCGAAAGTAGTGGTTCGGCTCACAGGAGCTGATGCTGAGATAGTTACCTTAGCCTTTCCCTTTCTGCTGTCTGTGTCTGAGACAGGCTCAATCGATTTGAGGAAATCGTCAACATGGCTCGTTGGGGCAACGTCAGCCATCTCAACGTCCTTCAGTTCGGCTACAACCGTAGTGGTGGAAGCTGGAACGGAAGAATCCTCTCCCGTAGATCCTGGCGCTCGCTTCTTCGATTTGAGCGAAGCAAGTGCAGCTTTGCGAGCAAGAAGCTCTTCCCTGCGCTGTCGCTCCATGTCAGAAAGGCTAGGTGTGGTTGGCGATCGATCCGACGACGATGATGCTCCAGGAATGAAGGGAATAGCGCCAGCAGACAACCTACGAGAAGTCGACTCGTCGACACTACCCGAGAGAGGTAGCATCACTCTCTGAAGAATACTGGATGTCTGCGTCGCGGGAGTACTTTGCTGAGAGTGCAGACCCATGCCATCAAATCGCTGTGTCATATTCGTGAGAGTGGGAGGAGACATGATCTGCGGCGGAGGTGGCTCATATGGGATGATGCCCGTGGCGTCAAAATTGTGCGGTAGACGCAGGTTGAGCTCGGAAAACACGTAAAAGACAATTTCGCGACTGAGTCCACAAGCAACGAGGTATTCCGGTGGAACGCCCCAACCAAGTAAATCTAGGACAATATCCTTGGCCGTATCATACTGAGCCTGCGTCACTATTCCAAGCACGGAGCTAATGAGATTCTTGAGATTACACATTAAAATTGTAGGACTAACTGGCGAGACCCGGCCGAACGTGGTTGGCATCGATGATATACGAGAACGAGGGAGAGGGAGCAATGGAGGCAGAATTAACTTCAGAGACAGCGCTGCTCGCCTGTTCATTGGCAGAGAAGCCTACGATTATCGCCTTTACTGGTGATGGCTTGAGCGGAACAGTAAGGGGAAATCTGTCTTTTAAGGGGGATTTCGGAGACTTGGATTGAGACTGTAGTTTGGATACAGGTGTCGCAGGAGCAGTTTCAGAGTCACTAATCTCGCCTTCTTCCCTTGATTGACTCTCGTCTGGTTGCAGCGTCTCGGCCTTGAGAGAGGCAAGTGCAGATGCAGGCGCCACGAATGCGGTCTGTGCTGATGATGAAGCAGTAGAAGACGCACCAGAGGGTTCTTCTTGGCCGTAATCGAGCTGTATCGAAGGCTGATTCTGCGCAGCAAGGGAGCGCGGAAGAACAGTTGATATCTCAGATACAAGCTTTCGTCGTTTTGATTTCAGAGTCATCAAAGCAGCCGCTCGCAGAGATGCTGCAGGGTCATCGGTGGTTGGGGATCCCTGTTGATTGGATATACCAGGTGGTTGTTCTGTAGACATTACAGTCATCTGAGGCGAAGAGAGGAGTCCGAGCTAATCAGGATTATTGCTGGTTACAAGAGAGCTACTGCGGATGAGATGCGTAGCAGGTAGCCCGGTTGAGGTCGAGGTCAAGGTAGGCTCAAGGTCAAGGTCAGCACCACGCGCCAAATCCATCAACACTCACGCACGGACCACAATACCCGTTCAGGAAATGGTCTCCGGATTCAGCCAAATCGATATGTAATCAAGGTCTCAACTTAAGCCTGAGTGGGCGGCCATCTGAGTCCATGAACAATCTGAAGGCGTCGACAGTACCTTCGTCTTCGAGGTCTCATGATCTGTTCGAATATTTCCGCTTTCGTTGAGCCGCGAATAGGTTAACTCTGTGTGTTGGTGGCCAAAGCGGTATACGTCAGCCTCGAGTCGACCCACTGGCAGCAGTAGCTTTCAGTTCAAGTTCGGCGCGGAGGTGAGCGCAAATTCACCCTACTTGAGATCTGGGGTTGGATGGGCCTACGGCCACGCAGGTCTCTTCTTTATCATTCCCGAGGCCATACTTATAGGTTTTGAGTTAACGTCACATCGCTTTACTATCCTTCCTCGCATTCTCTCTCACTTTGTGCATCCTCTTCTCTATTAGGCAATCATCCCTATTAGGCAATCAATGGACAACTGTGTCACGACCGACACTTCCGACTCGTTCACAACTTTTATACTACCTATTCAATATTGTCCATTTGGGGGGAGGGGGGGGGGCGGCCATTTACTTCACAATCACATCAATATCGGCTGCAAGGATCTTCTCCAATGTCGCAAAAGCCGGGGTAAATTTTACTACAAAATGTAGTTATACGAGATGTTTGATGAAGGTTTCTTGACGACGGTAAGTTCACTTCTCCTATTCACTTCGGTTGAAGCATATTCAGTTTTTTTATCAACATGAATATGGCTTCTGGGCACATATACTATCATTGCAGACGATGTCATTTGCTCTAATACTGAACAGTAAGGTCTTAGAATCTGCAACCCGCAGGTCAATTTTTGCGATGGCATAACGGGTAAAATTTGCTCATTATACAAATCCAGGCTGAGCGAACGACGTTACTACTGAGATGGCCGAATCGGCAATTACACTAATAGAAGATACGGTCGCTTGATGGAATTCATTGATAGCGCGCACAGCGAGGTTCTGAACATTCTCTTGTGAATATAATATTATTTAGTTCACGGCTGTAGCTCGATCCGTTGCGGAAGCATGAGTAAACTTGTAAGTGGACAATCACACTTTAACTGGCAGGAAATCGTGTAGTGTGGTCCCGGAGTGGATCAAGAGTTTGCTGTTTGTTGCACCATCTCGAGAAGTGACAGTAATGAGTAGCGTGATTCAATTGGCCATTACAGTTCTCACCGAGCATATACTACCTCCCTCCAAACAACGCTCAGCCGCATGCTCAAAGTCCCTCCCCTCTGATCACTAGAGGCAACATGCCTAGTAATAAAGTTTAGGCAGAGCTATTTGGCTCGTAGTGGAGAGATAATCACCTCCTGTGGGTAAGCCGTACCTCGACCGTCCCATGGCTGCAAGGATCCCATTTATGATTCCGGAGTGAGCGGTAATAGATATGCCTAAGGTGGTACAGACGTCAAATTCACCCTGTTTAGGCCATCGTTTTAAATACGCACAAGTCTCCGAGAACTGTTGAAATACATGATTCAGAACAGCCATGCCCCGCGATCTGACATGATCCTTTGTCTCTCGTTCATCAGGCTCCCAGCTTAGGTCTTCCTCAGTGAATCCGGGTTCGAAAATATATACCGGGGAAGGGAAAGCTCGTTCAATCATGGATCGAGGATCTCGCATGTCACAGGTGTGTACGCCGTATTCTTCTCTCAAATTCTATCGGATAAGGTTGTACTCTTCAGTGGCATTCGTAAAGGGTGCTAAGAAACCCACCTCAAGTATAGTCACTCTCTTTTTATCTTTTTGGAAAATCGTATCGCCTCCAAAAGTGATCTCCCAGGTGCTCAATGCTCTGTGCAGGGGGCTAACGAAACAACGCTCTGGCACAGGGATTCCCTGCTCAATTTCCATGAGCCAAATTGACCGCGCAGCTTCCGCTTGACGAATCCCAATGGGTGTCAAGAGGGGATCTGGACCCCATGTGATTTCGGAGTCGCCATAGAGTTTAGACCAGTATCTAGAGGAATTAGCCCGTGCATAGCTGCACCTATTCCATCAGGATACTCAACTTGTCCCAGGCCTGCAGGAACACATATGAGATGCGATACAAGGGAAATTATCAGATCGCTCCACTCACCTTGGTTCCGTATCTCGCTTCAGCGACATTATCTGCCGATCGCGGTCAAGAACATCATCACTGCAAAATGCGGCAAAAAATAAAAAGCTCACGATATCCTTCTCCATGCCTCCCTAAAAAGAACACTTTGTATGCTACTCCTTTGGGTGCCGATTGATTCATCTTAGAGAGACGCGAAATGAATCGCGACCAATAATCTGGAGCCTGGTCCAAAAGTCCAAACCGAGGGGGAAGCTAGAAATTCTGAACACATGAGTTCCCTGCCGTATTCATGAACCAAAAGTGGAAAAGATCAAACAGAGCCATCTATCAAAAACGTTCATACGCGATGGAAACATGCACTAAGGAATGGACAGCAAATGCAGAACGCATTGATTCAAGTTGCCGTCAGCGGAAGGCATTGCACGGTTGAATCGTAATATGTATCCCAAGCTCCAACAGGTGCACTACCCACCGGACCAATCAAGTCTGGGTTCGCATTGGGATCATCCTGGGCGAAAAATCCCGTTACTATCTGCATCACGATGTTAGCGCGATTATCGGCCCAGGGGTTGAATGTATACCGAGTATTTCTGAGTCTCCGACATAGTACTACAACGACAGCCGGATCAAGTCTAAGCTCTCCTTGAAGCAACTCTTTACGACAGGCCTATCAGGGTACTGTGCAACACGAGACGCCATAATCGCCGATAGTACTGTATGGGTGTGGCAGTGTGTGAGAACTCAGGACTCAAAGTTCGAACGTGCGTCTATTGCCAAATATTTTGTGATCGACCGGCTGTCCGCGAATTATGAGAATACCCTCAGTGAAATTTACACCCGAAGCAGAGGAATACTTAGCTTTCTGAGCCCTTCAGTGACCAGATCAACTCATCAAGTCCCTAGGTTACAAAGATCATTCCAACAACTTGGCGACACATATTCAAGTTCAACTTGAATCTCCCGCGCAAACTCATTCAGATATCGTTGGCTTGACCTCTCCCCTCGGCATCCTCAGGCTCGCCCCACCTGCCGCCAGACTTGGACAATCCCGATCATTGGATGGTATTCACCGAAGAAAGGATCGTACTCGACCTTGAAACCCCACAGCACACGCAATCTCCTTCCGCCGGGCTCCTCCTGCGATGCCCCCTCCTCCATAAGTTGGCACCATACTCCCAAGCACAATTTTAATATGTAGATTTGTATTCTTCAGAATACTCTGACGATTTTGCTCCGGCTCACAGCGCACGTTACACTCTTACTAGCTCGTGATAACCTCCAACCACAAAGAGCGACACCGCTGAAAGTGTGTGGAACGTTGGAGAGACAACGGTGATAGTTACCTAATATGTTTTCATGTCTTACCTATGGTAAATCGACCGGGCTTTTCATCTGTCCGTTGAAGATATACTTCGGACCCCTCCCTCCCTCTCATTCGACAAGTTTAAGAATGTTTCAAGTTGTATTCCTTAGGAGAACCCAGTGAGAGTCGGCGAACGTTTCTGATTTTCATTTCTTTCCTGCGGAATAATGCCATGCGCACACCCACAGATCGTGCGTTGGCACGAGTATGTTCTCCCATTGCGGGGAAGAGGTCTTCGTCGTTCCGTCAATCCAAATAAGATATAACTACATCGCGAGTTGTGAGTTGCATCTCTTTTCTTGCAAACGACACATACTATCTGACATATACACACCAGTACTCGATGTATCCTGGTCACAAATTCGTGACAATCGGGACTTCGAATATCCCGCTTACTTGGTCTCGTGCCCAGACGTGTCGAACTGGGTACGAGACCACGCTTACTGGCTTACTGCTGTCACGTCATCCACAACCACGGCCACTGCAGTCAATAAATGACCACGGCTGCAATGAAGCCTGTGGAAGTTACACCCATTGCAAGTGGCACGGAAACATGGTTGACACTTGAGCCCCACTGGCAGGAGGAAATTCTACAGGCGCAACAGCCTTGCGCAGTATTTCGTTGTCAGCGCCTTTTATGCTCACGCCCTCTTCTCCAATCCTCTCTATGAGTCTTCTTCCTTATTTCCCTTGCCAAAATCCACTTGTACTTCTGTGACCACAACGCCTGAAAACCTTTAGCACCGACGCCTACGACGAAGGAGACTTGGTCCTGGGACAAAGGCAGCAGCACGACACGCTCTTGGTCGACCACGTATATACTCCAATAGCGCTTATGTGTAATAAATCCGTCGTGAGGAATCAGAAACATACGTCTGAACGTTCCCTGCAGAGGAACACAGCAGGCGACCGAAATCGGGCCACCGGAGGCCGCCCTCCGGCGATACTTATCTTGGCAGGATGCTGACCACGTGGTGCCATCACGTCGGATCCTAATGCGGTAAGTAGGATTGCCTGCCGAGGTTGAAGAGGCCCCCCGCGGGCACAAGACCGTGAGGCTCTCTTCTGCTCTCCTCCTGCGAGCTTGACTTCCGAGACTCCGTGCTCCAACTCGCAGCGTCCGCCATGTATCTCTCTATGATCTATGTTCTGTCTTTCTTGCTCTTAACAGCGCGTGCTATACCCGTACGACCCCAGGCTCGCGATGTCGTTGACCCACCTGTCACAAACCCCACTGCTGATACTGTGTGGAATGTCGGGCAGACAGTAACGGTTACCTGGTATGTTTGAACCTTGAGCGAGATGTGTTGCCATGAACCTAACACTATATTGCTCTTTCTTCTATAGGAACACTTCGGTCATTCCACCATCAGCTAACCTCACCAACCCGGAAGGAATGGTTGTTCTTGGATACTCGACCTGGCAGAACGAAAACTTGATGATCGGTGGGTATGCTGCGTGTTTTGATGCTGCCAAATACACTGATGCCTTGTACCCGCCTGCAGACACCCCGCTGGCACAAGGATTCCCTCTCACAGCGGGCCAAGTCTCCTTCGTTGTTCCGTCTGTCCAGACCAGAACAAACTACATCGTTGCTTGTATGTCATCTTTGATTCTGAACAATAATATAGTGGTTGACAGACACTACCAGTGTTCGGTGACTCCGGTAACATCAGCCCCAACTTCACGATCATTGGAACTTCGGCACCCTCATCGCCATCTTCTAATGATCCTACGACGACAGATGTTTCATCTATCCCGTCTTTAACTGCAGCACAAACCAGTACTGCGCTCATGACCACCACGGTGACGTCGGAGGCTGTCACAACTGTACCTGGTACAACAAGCACCAACACTGTGATCAGGATTTCTTCCCCGACCTCCAAAGGAACAAGTTCTGTAGGCTCGACGACGACAAGTAATACTTCGGCATCAGCGCACTTGCCAACTTCCATTGCATCTACGCCCTCTTCTTCGCCTTTTTCGCCCGCGACATCTGGGGCGACAAACCCGACACAGACGACAACCATGACAACAACTACAAGTAGTGCTTGGTCCTGGGCCAAGGGCGGCGTGGCGCGACCCTGGTCGATCGCGATCATATCTCTTGTCGCTTTCGTGATGCTTTAAAGCGCGCGTAGTGCGATCCCTGATGACGACGATATATAGTGACGGCTTGGCTATACTTGGTTCAAGCTTTTGGTTGACGATGATCTATTATGACTCTACGTTTTGACTAATCGCTCTTGCACATACATACCCACATTTTGCACGTACTTCTTTAGTTGCATTGCATATCCCGGACTGACGGCTACGGACTCTGGTGGTTGCATGGTACTCTCTGAATTGAGGTAACGATTCTTACTCTCACGATTGCGTACAGAGCACGCCTTGTACCATGTTATGGATACTACTCTTCACCATTCATGATTTAGCGCAGTTTTGTTCAGTTTTGTATGATCCAAGAAAGCAGGATCGGTTTCTAAGTTGAGCTTCTTAGTGCTCTTGAAGAAGTTCATGGATGCATCTGTCTTTATCCCTGGTCTATCGAAACAAGGCTCCAACGTCATTTTAGAAATGAGTCGAATGCGGTGGATGCTAAGGCTGTCGAGTGGAAAGGTTGGCCAAGACGTTTAAAAGTCCGCTACTTTTGTCTCTCGACTGACGTGCAAGTATACAAGTGCGAGGATACCACTGGTAGTTGTGGGACAGAATTTGAGTACCATCACACTCTAGTAGCTCTCACTCAGGAGCCAGGTAAGCTAGTTGTTAACACCGTCACGAATGCAAAGTATTGGTTTCAGATTCAGTAGCATTACCAGTGGGCGCAACAGGAGTTTCATGGCGCTGTCCGGAGTCGGAATGTTATATGTGGGTTCAATAGAGCGCTCTCACTTGGAATTCAATTGATAGCAAATTCTAAAGTATTTTGCGAGGCCTGATTCGTACGCGTCCGTAGCGCTCGGTCATACTATACGTGACGCGGTGCCTTTAAGGTTCATGGACTCTCGAGGGTCCTCTCAGACAGGAAGACAGCTCAATGGCGACCACATCTGTAGACGATCAAGTCAGAGCTGTGTTGATTAGAACAATAATTTGGATACGCCTATGACATTCTCAAGACATTCTAGTCGAACTCTATGACTCGGATAATGTATATAGCATTGATACATCTAGGCCTTTGCTCCAGAATTTACAGAATTCAAGAGGGCAAACAGATCGCCAATGACTAGTTAGCTACACGGTATGCTACAAAAATGGCTCATCGATAAACTCATCCCCATCCGGCGGGGGCATTGTTTTTGCTTGAAGACTTATCTAGTATAAATATGCCGCGGCTCGCGGTCGACGCAAAGCTGGCGGAAAATAACCGCTATTGGGGGGGAAGATATAAAATATACCAACACAACGCTGGAAACGAAGCAGGAAGCAGGAGGGAAGAGTGAGCGAAATGAGGGAATTGTGAAGAAGGGGTCGATATGGCGTGGGAGGCTCGTGATGCTCGGGGCTCTATGGGTCGAAGCCCTTGTTCATGAAGTTCCACTCGACGGTCAGGACACCGACGGAGAGATCAGCTCCGAGTGACTCGAACAGCGAAGGGCTCATATCTGACCTGGAGGTAAGTGCCGGAGATCGCGGGCGCATGAAATATGTACGTACCGATGGCAGTGGCATCACATCCCATGCACTCGTCACGAGTCTGGCCATAGGCGGAGACGCCATTAGCCGTGTTTGTGATGTGGATCCACTGGGAGGAAACGGTAAGCAATCGATGTGAGGCGAAAAGATGTCTTACCTGGTTGCAGTTACCGCCGCCGCCGTAGATGTCATGAGAGATGGCGACAATGGGGTCAGAATTCACATTCTCGTATCCACAAGCACCTAGGCCAACGTCGAACCAAGTTCCCTGTTAACATATTGTCAGTATGCGCATATTGCACCCAGTATATGGGTACGCACACGTCCAGTATGGGTGGTACGCTTGTCAAGCACAGCTGTACTAGCGGTGACAGGGGACGCAGAGACGGAGACAACGAGGGCGCAGAGAGCGAGAGAAATAGCTGTAAGACGAGACATTGCAAAAAGGAGCGATAGTGTGTGCACGGGTGCCACCGAAGACAGATGAGAATGTTAAAGTGACACGAGGCCGAATTGGCGAATTGGACTCGTTGAGTTAGTTGGGTGATCTTGAGTTCTTTATTTATGGAAAAGTGTATGTCCACGGGTACCTTGAGAAATTTTCCGCTATGGTCGAGACTCAGTAAGATAGGCCGGCGACCCTGCATCCTCAAACCGGGAAGAGACAATGATGTGAAAATGAAAAACCACCATATGTTCACTGAAGCGCATGCGGCACGCGTACACAGTAATGGAGATTTGGCTTCAGCAATCAGAGACAGTCGATTGTCAGTTTTGTTCGAAGACAGACCGGCGGCAGGAACTGGGGGACTCGCTACATTGTTCGAGAGTCCAACCGGAAGCGCGGCGGAGGGCGGCCCGCTCCAGCTAGGAACGGAGCATTATGTAAAGCGCCATCCCATATAGAGTAACTCCCGATTGTGTGCGGTAGTCCAGCGCGGTTAGCCTGAGGTTCAGCAGTTCGATCGGCGAACTGAGCATGTGGTCGAGTTGGAATTTTTGTCGATTCCAGCATTTTAGCGCAATGCTCAGGGTAGATAGATCGAGTGTTCCACCGGTGTCGACGATGGTATTCAAAAATTGGCTGCTATAGCACGGTTCTTTGCACGAGGCTGAGCAACAGAACTACTGTTACTAAAACGTCATGATGTAGGTTCTAAAATGACTGGGGAGACGACGCCAGACGGGAAATTTCGACTTCAATCGGCAAGCCTCGTTGGGAAAAAATAGCACATAGATCGATGGCGCAGAGGTCCAGATAATGAGAATCTGTGTTTGGCGATCGCCCCTGGTTCCGCTTTTGTTCAACGTTTGAAATGCTACACAAGAAGATGGGCCCTTGATGTCACCGTAGTACATGCAAGCGTCCTGCACCAGCTTCGAGTACGCGCGCTATGATTGCAAGATCTCGAATAAAGAGCTGGAGTAAAAGCACCGTCCCTTATGCGCAGCCGCGATGGGAGAATGTGCTGCCAGAAGACGATATCACCAGAAGTCGCAGGGTGCAGCAACGTCATGTACGTACATCGGAATTGCTCTCAGACAGCCGTAATTAGAATGGCATACGTGGGTGGAAGTACTGTTGTATGGCATCGATAGCACATGTGCGCGCGACAACCCGCTTCAGCATGTCGTAACTGACCGGGATATGCTTTTACAAAGTTCCGCGGTCTTAGAGCGGGCCAATGGTATAGGCAAATAATGCAGTCTCGACATTGCGTGGCAACACAGTCAAACACGCAGGACTTTATCGATATTATCTAGGAATGAATTAGCTTTCAACAAACAAACAGACGTCGGAATTACAAGCTGAATACTGCGTTGATTCGGAACTAGCTGAGCTCATGAATCAGTTAGTATAAATCATGTCCTAGAAAGAATGGAGGGTAGAATGAGGTCCTGCGAAATGGTCACATACGAGAAGACCGCTACGGTATGTAACTTGACTCGATGAGTACGTACCATCTGAGCGGAACGACTTGTTATCTCCATGGTAATCAGTGTGACCATTGGTGACCTGGCGCCATTCTGATCAATGCCTTTGAAAAGCGGAATCGAGATTGGGCATACGAGTGGGTAGGGGCTCGTGGTAGACACACGCATACATTCATTAGTGAACCAAGAGCTGTGCAAGTCACAATATCACTACTACGATTCTGAACAGCAGGTCATGGCAAGTAATCACTGTTGTTAGCTGTGTAGTTTTGCCTTCATCCAATTAATGGCCTAAGAAATGGGTAGAAGGGAGATATTGCGGATCAATTGCAAGGGTAACACCGTTTGTAGAGTAGGTCGAGCAGCAGGCTTTGGTATGAACAAAAGCAGCGTTTAAGACGCTCCGGGACATGTTACTGACAAGACCTGGTGCTGGCAATGGCACTTAAGGGTGGCGGAACGTAGCGATAGGCATGTGATCAATAAAAGCGAGTTGCCGATCGCGATTCCCGTGGCAGCCACTCTTGATCATAAGCCACCAACAACGGCGGATACGCAGCCGGGGCGGTGGTCGCATTCTTTGAGCCTATACTTTCTGCTCTCGACAAATTCGGAAATTGTTTGAGTTCTAATTTCTCTACTCAAGCGGGCCGTGCTATATACAAAGTATCATGAGCGGCGAGCGGACATATGGAGAGGATCTGCCAGTAAAGTTGCATTTCGCAACGATGTCTGGGCTGAACTCATGGGCATTGAATAGGACCAAGTCGATCGGCTAGTGAACTTATCCGACGCCCAGCTTGAGCTGCTCGCAGATGTCAGCTGCCATCTTGTATCATTTGCCAATCCAGACTTATGGTTCAATGCTCCAGGTACGCGAGTTGTACAAAGACCGGGCTGCACTAGAGCGTGACTACGCTGCGAAACTCCAGGCACTCGCAAGAAAGGCGGCAGAGAAGAGGAGCAAAAAGGACTCGATGTTGGTAGTAGGGAGTGAGCCTACCAAAGCTTGGGGCGAAGATACACTGCAACGAAGGTCTGGCCATGCCTCTCGCTGCTACGTTTTCGCTGTTGAAAATTCTCTACAGCACTTGTCACATTGCGTACTCGCAGATTATCTCATCGATTCTTGACTCGGCCCAGGCTCACGTCAACTTATCTGATGCACTGGCCTCTCAAGTGGTGGATGTTCTCAAGGGCACCGAACGTCGGCATGAAGATGCCAAGAAGAAGCAAGAACAATACTTCACGAAGCTTCTATCAGAGAGAGACCGTGTGTACGCTAGCCGTGCCAAGGTTCGCTCGCTCGTTCTTCTTTTTACATGAAACGTTGACTTGGGGCCCGACAGAGTAAACAAAAGGTACGATCTGGAGAAACACTGTAAATGACACCAACCTGTTTCTAGTACGATGAAGAATGCAACGAAGTTGAAACATACCGCTTGAAACAAGTTAATAACAATTCATTTGGAATTTGCCCCACTTGATAACCCGATGTAAATGAACACAGGAGCGTTCCTCCGACGATCGTCATGCAGAACGAGCTGCAAAACAATACGAGCAGCAGCAAGTTGATATGCTCAACGGGAAGAAGTACGAGAGATTTCCCCCCCTAAATTTGCTACTGACCATCTTACAATTTAGTTCCTATCTTATCGCCATCGCCGTTTCTAACAAGGTGAAGGAAAAGTTCTACAAGGAGGATCTGCCAGCATTGGAGGACGTAAGTACCTTTCGAACATACCTTTCGTAGCATTCTCGCTTACTGATTGTTGTTCAAAGCAATTCCGTTCGTCCCTTCTAAGCGCAAATCACTGTTTTACGTCATTATTCACGCGCCTCTAATCAGAAACTCTACATAGTCAACTTATCACAAAACTCGCTTGTATAATGCTGCAAGCACAGGCGTTGCAGAAGAATCATCTGGACACACTTAGCGGACACATTGCAGCTGCGGAAGGAAAAATTGGAGCCATCAGTCCACGGGCGGATCAGGATCTATTCATCGAGCACAACATCCGAGCATTCATGCTACCTCCTGACTGGAGCTTCGAGCCGTGCGCCACTCACTACGACAGCGTAACTAAACTATCACCCATATCTGATTCATGTCCATTACCGATTACTATCTGTTTTCAGGGTGATATGAGTGTAGAATCCGCTCCTAAGATTTATTTACAAAATCGCTTGACCAAGTGCAGGGAGAAGCTGGGTGAATTGACGCCAATCATTGATGCAAAGCGTGAGTTCGCTGAGACTTTTCATCTGATATGCTATCAAATTACTCTTCCATCACATATGCCTGTTTGTCGAAACAATAGGCAGGGACGTGAACCAATTAGCGAAGATGGTGGAAGCGTATTCCGTAGACCCAAAGCTAGGCAGTGCAGTAGAGGCATCAGACGTAAGTGTACGGCCTTCCTCTACGGATTCAGTACTCAAGCTACCCTTCGGTTCATGTGATGGTGATTGTTGTCTTCGAAATCATCAGAATTATCTAGAGGCTCAACACCAGCTGACATTTTACACAACGTCCGAATGTTTGTTATCAGCGGAGGTGGAGACCATCGCCGCGGCCCTCAGTGGTGCGTGCTTCTCCCTTTCAGCCTCGTGTTTTCCCTTCCTCCGCGTAACAGTATGTCTGAAGACCGCTACAACGCCTTCATGTCCTCGTGAGTGAGATTCCATGACGGCCCGCTAATCTTCGCGAACCAGGTGATGAGGGCGATCAGAGGCCACATGCATTCAAGAGTGTCGCCTTCTCTATTCCCGCTGCCTGCGTTTATTGCAAGGTTCGTCATTCACTCCACCTGGGCACGTGGACACTAACTCGCCAGTTGGACGGATCAAATTCACGTCTGTGCAGTCGCCTATATGGGGGCTAGGTAAGCAAGGGAAGACCTGCAAGGTCTGCGGGATTGCTGTTCACACCAAGTGTGAACTCAAGGTCGGTAGGCCTTGGAGTCAATACTGGGTGAGCGGAGTTACAGCACTGACGCTCGCGCAGGTCCCAGCGGACTGCTCAGGATCTCGTGGGACGGCCCGTGCCCCTGCTTCTGGTACTACATCTGCTACGTCTGCATCTGTCTCACGCTCGTCCTCGACTATTTCCAAGTTAAGCGACTCTCAAGGTTAGTAACACGCATTGGCTTGGGACAATTCTGATCCTGCTCGGACTCTGGATACATCGGCTGCGCCATCAGCATCAGTGTCGAGCACGCCGACGCCGTCATCCTTCGCACCATCAATTGCCGAGGACACTCATCTGAGGGGCCGTATACTATTCAGTTTCTCCCCGAACTCACCTTTTGAATTAGCGGTTTCGGGTAAGGGCACGTTTCTTCCCGCGAAGAGAATCAATTCACAAAATGTTGTAGAGGGCAGCGAGGTTCAAGTGCTAGAAGAAGATGACGGGTCCGGATGGATTAAAGTCGCCGATCAACATGGAGGTAGAGGTCTCGTCCCAGCCTCCTACATTGAATTATCAGAAGGACCTGCTGCGACCGCTCCTCGTGTTGCTACTGTCTCACCGCCTCGCCAACAAGGGTCTGGTCAATTCGGTATGTTCTGGAACATCGCTATCATCTTTCACTCCCTCACAGAATAATACACAACTGGATATTAATCCATTGCAGTGCGAGGTATTTATCAATATCAAGCACAAGGTCCAGATGAAATAAGTGTTACGGAAGGTGGTTTGCTCGAATTGACAGGTGGCTCCACAGGGGGGACCAACTACGCTGACGGTTGGTGGGAAGGTAGGAGCACGATCGTCACATATTACTGTCTTCCTGGATTCTAACGAACGTGTCTATCGGTACAGGTATCGATACCATGGGGAAGAAGGGCATATTTCCCAGCAACTATGTAAGCGCCCGTTGTCTTGGTGTGCGAGGCTTCGTTACTTACCGCACGGTGGTTCTAGGTGAAGCGCGTCAGTACGTAGAAATCGCGATCGCGCTAAATCATGCCATAGTCCTGTTCGTAGCATATCTTCTTACGTAGCCATGGTCTTCTGCCTGGTGCTAAGATTACCCTTATACCGAACTCGTTACTCCCAGAAGACCGTGAGGGGGACGTCACATATCTTGAGAGCGGGATCGAACAATGGGCAAGATGCCAAATTCATCCTGCTTTATGAGAAAACTAGATTGGACTGTTCTAGACACCAAGCCTTGCGGCGGATAGCTGCGGCCGACGACGCACATTCGTACTTCTAGCTTTTCACGCGGAGTCGTCCAGCCTCCCGGTGCTGATCGCGGAGACGTTAGCTACTATTGCGCAGAATGGGTGAAGGCATGTTCTCCTCTCGTTATGTTGCTGGGCATTTCCAATCTTTCCCATTTTAAATGCCCACTGAGAAGAGCAAATTATAGTTGTGTCGTCATTGTGGGTACTGATCATATCGTTATCGGCACGCAAACCACCGTGCCACAAGGCTTCGCGTTTAGTAATGTAGCACATATGGAACTATGTCGATAGCTTAGAACCCAACGTTTCGCAATTCGAGTACAAGTTTAGCATCGGAGTAGACAATCGAAGACATCAACATGCCGCCAAACCGCTGGTCGTAAGAGACCCTAGGAATAAACCGATGAGGTGATGAGAGGACCTCGAGCACTGCGACAGTGTTGCCGTCAGGGAGAAAGTAGACGAGCGGCTGTCTGGTCAAAATATTTCTACTCTGAAATTTTCTTGCCACAGACATATAAAAGAGCCGTGTGGAGGCACTTTGAGATACCCCAACTCCCAGTCCAATACCTCATGAGCACCTGCTATGCGCTTTATAACCCTCACCTCAGCCGACACGTCCTACAAGATTCGTCGGTGAAAATATCTGACAAGACGATGATTCCACGTTGCACACCTTTTGCCATGTGCTGAAAAACAGAACTCATAGTGCGTCATCGAGCTTTCTTTCCCTCTCTTGCACCGAAAGAGTGAGGACACAGAGGAAATGTCATGTCACTATTTTGACGACATCAGTTAGAGTGTTGGATATCTCCTTGGCCTTGTCTAGGCATCGTCTTCGCCAGTCACCCATTGCACTAGCGCGGTGTCAGCTAGACTTGCGCGTCTTCGTGTAAGCTAGGAACAGTGCTATTGCGATGGATGACGCGACGACGATTTCGAAGCGGGTCCAAGCGTAGTGCATCCACTCTGCTATACACGATGGTCAAAGGCCGACCAAATAAGTCTGATATGTGCTAGAGTACTGCGCAAACCAGATGACGCGCAAATAGCCAGCCTTCTGCGTTACCTACCAGTAACTGCAGATTCTACTGCCTGCATTAATCCTAAAGGGAAAGATTCAATGCACGACGGCAGCGCGAATGATTGAAGTATACCGGTCCAAGATCCACAGATGTCATTTTCTAGAGTGTATGTTGATTGTGGCAGGTACGTAGCTAGTCGAGGTATGAGATATTCCCGCATCTAAACAAGGTGGCGATTGCGTCTGTGATGTCGTTATATATACATGAAGCATTGGACCGGTTGGACATACGGCACCGTTATATAAGCCATTAGCAGCATCATCTTGATCGGTTGTATGCTTCGGCAGAAAATGCTAATTTGGCCCTCGATCTAATTAATCCATCGGCTGTGGTACACAACTACACTTGAAATATTGACCCATATAAATTATAAACTCACTTCATATCTTCGAAAAGTGTCTCTGAGATTAGAGTTGTGCGAGCCTGGCGAGAGGATCTCCATGTACGAGTTCATTGCAGCGGTGAAAGGTGCCAAAGTGAAACTCTTTCAATCTCGGAGGCAATTGCTCATTGGCGCCAAACAAACAGACACAAATAAAGCGCTGCTCAGCTCGGATCCGGGAATGTCTCCGAGCTTGCCTAGTACCACATTGGCTTCTCTACTTGTTTTGGGTCGCTCAGATTTTGTGAAGACTCAAAGACGACCCCGACATACTTCACTCTCTCTCAGAATGTCTCGAATACGAGATGTCTGGGCACCCAACTTGGAGCAGGAGATGAGCAATATCCGCGATCTTATAGACCGATATCCCTATGTCGCAATGGTCTCAGTCTTCCCATCTTCACTCGCGGACCTTCTGTCACTCATCGTACCCTCAGGACACTGAGTTTCCTGGCGTGGTCGCTCGTCCCATAGGGTCGTTCAAGACTTCGTCGGATTACCACTATCAGACGATGCGATGCAATGTGGACCTGCTAAAGATCATACAAGTCGGTCTTACGTTGGCGGACGAGGAGGGTAATTATCCTCAGGATGTGTCAACATGGCAGTTCAACTTTCATTTCAGTCTCAAGTACGTGTCCACCGTCGTGTGGATTATGCTGCATAGACTTGCTTACGTAAACATGCAGCGAAGACATGTATGCTCCAGAATCTATCGACCTTCTACAGAAATCAGGTATTGACCTACAACGGCACGAGGAAGTGGGGATCGAGCCAAACGACTTTGCCGAGCTGATGATTACGTCGGGCTTGGTGTTAGCGCCAGAAACGAAGTGGATATCCTTCCATAGGTAGGTGCCGTAGTCCTCTATACCAGACATCCTTTATTCCGTGGCGGATAGTTTCCCAGGGCTATGCGCCGTGACATGCATCACTCTACCATCACTCTAGCCCTGGGTTAAAGTCGTGCCACTAGAATTTTATATTTGCTCCTACCTGGCCCCACTTGCACTCCCACACCTCTCCAAATTGCTCAACGTTCTTCCTTTATCTAGCGGATATGATTTTGGTTATTTCGTCAAGCTACTGACCGCGGAGTCATTACCTACCACGGAGGAGACATTCTTTGAGGTGTTACGTACATGGTTCCCTACAATATATGACATCAAGTTCGTAATGCGCGCCTGCAAAGTCCTCAAAGGAGGCTTGCAAGACGTTGCGGACGATCTCGGGGTAACGATCGCATTTCTCTGGCCACGCACACTAGTGCTAACCGAGCGGTCTCCGACAGGTCATGCGAATAGGCGCATCACATCAAGCCGGTTCAGACTCACTCTTAACAGCGTCCACATTCTTCAAAATGCGCGAGCTCTACTTCAATGATTACATCGACGATGCAGAGTACAACCACAAATTGTACGGCCTCGGACAGACCTTTATCACGAATGGTATCACCGAGCCCGTGCGCGGGAGCGCAGCCACTATTGCGGAGCGCGAAGATCGCGGGCCTGTGCGCGAGGCGCACAACCAGACGCCAGGCTCAGTACAAAATCAGAGTCTCGCCGCCGTCGCAATGGGTTTAGGCGGATCACTCTCCACACCTGCACTTGCAGGTGCGCTACCAGCATCCCTACAGCCATCATCGCCATACGGCCCGATGGGGGCAAATGCACCATATATGCGTGCCGCAATTGGGGTAGGAGGGCGATAGGCAGTCTGACAATGTTTGACATGTGGACAGCGGTTTTCTGTGTCGATAGTGCCAGGACTTTCTTGTATCTGAATTATAGTGGAGTGTATTGTGTTTTTTTATATCATTCTTGTTCCCACATTAAGCGAAAGAGAATCGGGTGTGTGTGTCGCTGCCATAATTGTACATGGTGATCTTTACCGTTTGGTAAACAGGCGGTTAGTGCGTAGGGAAGTGGAACCACGGAAGTCAGAAGGAAGGAGTCTGAGATACAGCCTCGAATTTCCATGCCTGAGATGCACTATGGCTATGCAGCGAAAGATCCGTCTAGGAAAGCTTCAGAACGCCCGACCTAAGCTCGTCGCAAATTTGCGTGGACAACGCACCGCTATGGCACCTGGTACGTGCGGAGAAATGATAGAAGCAGCCTGACGGAGCCGGTGCCTAGCCGCAGAAGCGATTACGCACTGCAGCTCTCTGCACGGACGTCGCCAGGCTGCGAAACCAGCACGATTACGCATGGAAGCACATGTGCGGCAGGCAGACTCGAGTAGCAGGGTACACGGCTCGAAAAGCGCGGGCAGAACCCGTGAGGCGGCGAACTGTGTACTTAAAATCCGTAGGGTCAGCTGATTCTGATCTCTGGGAATCCTGGTACTTACGCTGCGCTGGGTCCCTGAGCTCTGCGTAACCCAGAAACAGTCACCGCTAGCCTCGATAGATAGGGCGTGAGCGCGACCGGGAACTTGCGCGGTATGCTCCTTCCTGGCTTGAGTCTATTGAATGCGAAGGATGTGGCCTTTAGCATCCACCAAGAGGGGCTAGCTCATCCATTTCTCCGCATAGAAAACGATCAGGAGTGGACGTCGAAAACGCATGTTTGGGGCACTCGTGCAACGTGGTGTAGATTGATCCACAGGACAGACCTTCCCTAGACTCTCAGAAGGCCATGGGTTCCCGATACAGCCTAGAATTTGGGGGCGGAGCGAGTGGAGAAGTAAACACTTTTGCCATACTGGTGTGCGACCGATGTAAGTTAATTGGTAGTATTGATCGAGGGGGCCGAGATAGCAGGAGAGCTGGGTAGATTAATAGATGATTGTACTGGTCCCGGAGTGGTCACTTGAGGCTCATGAACGGCAAGGCTTCGCCCGTAGCAAGGCAACAGCGCATCGGAAGGACGGGGGTAGGCCTTGGAATAGCTACGAGTGGGAACATCAACGATCGCGCGCGAGGGTAGACGTGGATCCGAGAGCTTCTACGTTCATTTTGTCGAATAAGCCTGCTCCATTCACATCAATGAGATACACGAGCAAGTTTGCCAGTGGTGTCTCCGACCTTACGGGCAGATGAGGGACATGTTTCAAGAACTCGCTCAGGGCAGGCGGCGTCCTAGCGAATCGTCATCGATAACCGCGGAATGTAGCTCCAGGGTCTATCTCCGCCATGGAATGCCTCCGAAAGTTGGACAACAGTGTAGCTAGGACCACCTGGGAGAATAATATTCGGTTGTAAATATATGGCTCACCAGAGGGCATCAGCTATGAACATCATTGTTCCAGGAGTGGCAAATTGACCACACCGAGGGAAAGATCTGTCATAACGAGAATATATGTCATGGAGGCGGAAAAGGAGACAAGGACGTACACGGCGAATTCGTAGACCTGCTATATTCTGACATGGCAGATCCGTAAACAGACGGGTCGAGCCGTGCATTCAATAGGGATGAGTCGGATGGTGGGGAGCGGTTTGGTGGAATAGACGGAGCCCATGGCCATGAGCAGGATGCACGTATGCAGTGCGAATCAAACTTGAAATGAGGACGAGTAGATAGGACGAGCCAAAGTCGGATCGCAGGCCGATCTACAAACTCATCCTTCGCGCGGTGAAAGAAAACTTCATAAGCCGTCGAGTCCTCGCGTTCCCCATCTCTGTTCTGGACCATCACCATCTCCAGAGCGAGGTCGCTGCTCGCCGTCGCCAGCAGATGCGGACGCATGATGGACAACCACAACCAATATGTTGGCCTCGTGTACCATCACCCTTCGTCTTTTTTTGACCACCACCCCCGCTCGCTGCCCCTCTCGACGACAGCCATGGCCTGGAATGCTGCACAGTCGTCGCCACCAAACAGTGCAGCTTCGACGAGCTCATCCCTCTACTCCGCCATGAGCCAACCTGACGACCGCGTCGACTACGCTAGGACGACGATGCATTCACGACAAGTTTCCAACCCATATGCCGGCCATCCTCATTCTCCATCTCTCCACTCTTCCACCCCAGATCCAGCTTTGTCGTTTGATTCTCCTCAGATCCAAAGCAGCATTGGGCCCAGCCGCATCCTCACCCGCCGCCGTGCACGCGCTGCCACTCATATCGCCGAGTCGGCACAATCCACCCCAGGCCAGCCGTACGACGTCAGTCCTTCACCTTTTCCTCTCAGATCATCTCCTGATCTATTCGTATCATTTTTCAAGCGACGTCAGCACTCTCTCGCGTTCGCTGGCCCCTCGCTGTCTCGTCCGCAGACTCCGAGTGGCGACCTCCCGGCTCTGCCACTCGGTGTCAATGCTGGCCCCGTTGGTTCCATTTCTGTTCCCTCTGCACCGTATCATTTCATGCCCTCTCATTCGCGCTCAACATCTGGTTCTGCCTCCTCTTCCAATGCCCGTTCCGCGTCCCCGGCGCTTAGTGTCGCTTCCACTAGGACCTCGCTATCTTCCTCGACCTCTGCCCATCTGTCACACCCGTACCCTTCCTATCCGGAATCAGACGCGCAAGTCGAATCGACACGTCCCAAGCATAAGAAGAAGCGTCTCCTCAGCATCCATCGCAAGGAGATATGCGAGTTCGCCCTCGCCCACGACAGCATGAAGCAGGAGGAGATCGCATCTCATTTTGGCGTCGAGCGCAGCACTGTCAGCAAAATCCTCAAAGAAAAGCATAGGTGGCTCCACGTCCGCGACGACGAGAAAGTTGCCGTCGCAAAGTTCAGGTAACCGTTTCCCCTTGCGTATACCGCTGCAGTGCATACTAAGATCATCTTATTGAGACCGTCCAAGTTTCCGGAGATTGAACATCAGCTTGAGAAGTGGCTGCAGCAATGCACCAAAGATGACGTTCACATCACCGACGCCATGATTCGCGAGGAGGCAAAGCAGGTTGCGCGCAACCTCGGCTGGTCAGAGGACCGGTTCAAGGCCAGCTCTGGGTGGGTCGAGAACTACAAGATTCGGGTCGGAATTAAAGGTGGAAAGTGCTCCGTCGTCGGCAGGGACGCGCTCAGAGCCCGCGCGAACGGCTGTGGTTTTTTACCTCCCGACGTCGCCCAGCATACGCCCGACGATCCTCTCCAGCGCGAGCTCGACGCACTCCCTGCATCCCTGCCTGATCCTCCGCCGGCCCCAGCTCAGGACCGTGCGCTTGAGCCGGAGTCGGGTCATGAAGACAGGCGTACCATTCAAACCTCATCTGCCATGCAGGTGGGGTGGCCCAATGCTGCTTCATCCTCTGGTGTCTACGACCACCCGGTTGCCCACGAACCGCTCTCGCTTCCCTGCCCAGTGCCTCTAGCCATGCCGCAACCTGACGGTGAGCAGCCCGGACAGACCTATCTCGTTTCGCCGATCGTGCATATTCACGAGCCAGAATTTGTGCCGTCGCTGACCGACGCAGAGGCGCTGGTCGACAAGCTGCTGTTTTTTTTCGCGGACGAGGCCAACGCGGATATGATAACCATCGAGCAGGAGGAGACTCTCCGTGAGATCAAGGTCGTACTGTACGATCAGATTCAGGGATCCGTTCGCCGGTAAGTCTCGGCGACGGAGGCAGGCGTTAGTGTGTGTGACGGGGTCGTGTCGTGTCGTTCCAAGTCTGATCAAACAAGGTTTGTATGTCAAAAGTGTCTCGCGCATATCACCCATGAACTGTGTCTTTGGTTGTATCGTTTCTTGCATCATGGACCACTTGTCATCCCATGCAACTGTCCCTTATTATCTGCATCATCGCTCTCATAGCCATTCCATGCATCGCATCACCATTTGTTATCTGCAATATTTGCATGTATGTCTCCTTTCTCCTAGGGTCTCATGTCACGGTACGTTGTATTTGTTCTTGCACTGGGCATCCATCACGTATCATTACAATGCATCACCACCATACATACATTGTGTCTCTACCACGAGTGCTTGTATCATTTCGAAAACCAATAAACCGTATTTTTAAGCTACAGCTCGCTGCACATAGTCTGCGTTGATCTGGATGTGCCTTTATGTGGTCATTGTACTGATCCTGCATGCAAACACGAAGCAGCAAAGGCGATCCCGAGGATACCCAAATCTGGTAGCGTGTTCTGGAGATGCTAAGTAGGTTAGCAGTGAGCGACGACTGCAACCGATAGTGAGTACGTTAGAGAAACTGACAAACGTGCTTCGATGGGAGAGAACGCACCCTTTCTCCCAATCAACGAAGCATCTCAAGACTTTTTCGTCTTAGTATCTTTTTCAGAGGTTCTAGCGTGCGCCTGGTCAGAGATCATCGCAGCAGTCGAGATGTAGTCGCTTCACTCACCCTTCCAGAGCCACATTCTTCATGATCGTCAGTTTGCCCGACGAGGCCGCAGATGCCACCTGCTGCTCTATGCTCCTATTAATTTTTGCGCTGAGCTCCTGAAGGATCGTGCCCAATCAGCTGACGTTAAAGATTCAAGCAGAATCAAAAGGATCTGGACTCACTCTATGCATTGCAGCTTGTTTCACAGCGACGGTTTTCTTCGGTGCGACATACCGCCTGCCCTTCTTCGGCTGAGCAGCAGCCTTCGCTGCGTGCCGTGACGCAGAGGATTTGGTTTTCTGCAGACCTTTCACCTGTCCTTGTGCCATGGCGCAAGCGCGGCTTCCAAGTTTCTAAGTATGTACTGGTTGCGAGAAGTTACTAAATTCTCACATTGAGGAACGCTGGAACAGGCGGTTTCTTAAACCGGTAAGAGGTGCGCCCCGTGCCCGGAAGGACCCGGTTCACCTGCCTGCGTCAAGCCTGGCGGCGAGCAAATATCATACCACGACGTGCTCGGTGCCCACTGTTTGCGACGTCGGCCGCCAGCCCTCATGTTGGCCGTACCGACGAAATGCGTGCGCGCCCAGCGCGTCATATCTCAGCAGAGAAAGGTCCGTACGTCGATACGTGGCGAGGGTGACTCGCGAACTAATTCCTGGGGCAGTTCCAGCGAGCCCTGCATGACCTCGTAACGCTGCCCAACAACAAGCCTGTGATCGCACATGGTCCTCCTGGGCGCAGCGCTAGTACGGGGCATGTTGCGACAGTTTTTGGCTGCACAGGGTTTTTGGGCAGATACTTGGTTGCTAAGCTTGGTGCGCCTTTTTGCTGCTCAAGGGTGCGCTGTTGATGCGATGGTCCCTGCAGCCAAGGCAGGCACACAAGTTATCATTCCGTACCGTGAGGAAGACGAAAAGCGACATTTGCGGGTGACAGGTGACCTTGGTCAGATCGTGTCGATGGTGTGTGCATTCTGAACATGGGTGCGAACTGCGATCATTGGTGCTCAACGCACAATAATGCTAGGAATGGGATCTTCGAAATGACGACCAGATCGCAGAATGTGTACGACACTCCGACATCGTCTACAATCTCGTTGGCCGGGAGTACGAGACCAAGTATGTATCATGCGCGGCCGTTTCTATGTAGGATCTAACCCGCATTTTTGTAGGAACTTTAACTTTGATGCCGTCCACGCCACGGGTGCACAACGCATTGCCAACATTGCAGCGCAATCCGGGGTGGCGCGATTCGTGCACGTCTCCCATCTGAATGCGTCTCACAATTCGCCGTCCGAATTCTACCGCTCGAAGGCACGCGGGGATGACCTTGTCCAGGAGGCCTTCCCTAGCGCGACAATCGTACGGCCTGCGATTATGTACGGCTACGAGGACAGACTTCTGAACAACATGGCCAGTACGTCGCGGCATTTCCACACGATATTTTCCCGCTCATACTCATGCTCCCTCTTCCTTCAGTCTGGCCCATCTGGTGGAAGCTGAACCACATGCAAACGAAGATCCGCCCGGTGCATGTAAGCCCACGCCTCAGCGTCCCGTCTCACCCTTCGCGCTCCCCGCTCTGATCGCGCCGCTTCTTTTCCACTCACGCAGGTCATGGACGTTGCTCAGGCGCTCACGAACCTCATCTCGGTGCCATCGCAGCCGGGGACGTTCAACCTCCCAGGGCCGTCCACACTCTCGTTCGAGTATCTGCTTGCACTTATGTCAAGTGTCACTTACACGCCACCGTCCCGTGCACCCGTCGTCCCCAAGGCGGTCGCAATCGCGCTTGCAAAGGCCGCGCAGGCGGTGTGGTGGCCCGCGCTGAGCCCAGACGAAGTGGTGCGCCGGTACCTCGACGACGCCGACGTGCCCGGAGACTGGGACAAGGTGGGCGTAGTGCCTGATGAGATCGAGCAACATGCGATCACTTACTTGAGGCGGTACCGCTCTGCGTGCGTGTAGTTGTGGATGAATGTGTTCCTGGTTTCGCTGAGATTATTGTTTCTTTCTTTAGAGAAAACTACGCGCGACCGACTGTGCTTCCCTCGTCTCGGGACGCTCTGGTAAGTGGCTTCCCATATCTTGAATTTGATTTGGTGATTTGGGGTTGACTGATTATGGTTGTACAGTACGAAATTCCGTAGCAGCCTCCTGTGTGGGTATATAGATGTTGAAGCAATTCATTTTTTTGATCAACAAACTCCTATATGCTGCACCTGGGTTCTAGATTGCTCAGGCTTATAAGGACATATTCACGTTGATCACCGCTAATTGTGCAATACTGATAAATGGCGGTTCGTCCACCAAAGGCGATGTGTCAAGCAGTAGTCT